TCTCTCTCTCTCTCTCTCTCTCTCTCTCTCTCTCTCTCTCTCTCTCTCTCTCTCTCTCTCTCTCTCTCTCTCTCTTGTGCCCGTGCGGCTGCAAATCTTTTAACTTATATTCTAGCTTACCAGGGCGGACGTCCGGGACCCCTCTGGATGTCCGACTTGTCCGGTCGGACAATTGGGAAGACGTCCTTTGGACACAGTGTGTCCGACACTCTAATATATATATCTATTTGTGACGATATATATATATAGATCTCTGAATTCTCCTTGGTATGGTACCACCGTGGAGTTATTTCCCCAGTTCCCACGATCTCGAATTTAATTGAATTGTCTCCTGAAGGTTTAGGTCCTTGCGTGAGTACCTTCTCAGGCAATCTAGTGCCGCGTGGATTCTCAAGTCTCGGGCTCGCTATTGACATCGAGCACGAATTCAGCCGTGGCTTACTGTCCACTCTGTTGGTTCTCCCTCACATGAGGTATATGCCACAAAAGTTTTGGGTCATTTGAGCCCATAGAAAAAAAGATAAAAATCGTTAAAGTCTTAAAGATGTCTGTGTCAATTTCAATCATCGAGGTCTATCTTGTGGGGGTCAATTTCAATCACGCACCCCAACCCACCCCCCCAAAACCGTCTTTCGCGGCAAGTTTCGCAATGTTTTGCATTTATTTTTTCTTTTGCTCCAAATGAGCTGGAATTGTTTTTATGGGGTCACCTCATGTAGCGCAGCCCCTCCCCATTTTATTTTTTTTTCGTTTTTTATTTTGGAGAAAATGAGTTGTCCGGGATTCCGGACAACTCCCTCACAGTACATCCGATGGAGACGTCTCCGGGAAATGTCTCCGATCGGACATCTGGTAACCTAGCTTATATTGACTGTGGGTATTTTCTTGTGTGCACAGGTGGGGCATCAAAGTTTGCCAAAGGTCGAGTACGATGCTGTCCAGGTACGTCTGTTTGTTTTGCAATTTCAGATGACGTTTTTTTTCCCCTTTTTCCGTTTTTTTCGGTTTCAGCCTTTCAGGTAATATTATTTATCACTGTGTTTGTCATGTGTGTGTCCCTCCTACTTTGCATAGTTGTCCTCCTCTCCCCTTTTTTTTCTAAGCAGCGCTGGTATTCCCTCCCATTGTCTTCCAAGCGAAGCTGCAGCAGGTAGTTTAGAAATCAGATTAACACAACAAAATCGTTCTGTGTTTACCGGGCCGGTCAGTTCAATGATGATATCTCGAGGCAGCGGCCCTTCAGAAAACGTAACAAAAAAAAAGGACAGGGCAGCTGGGCACTCGCCGTGCCACACACCATTGTACAAAATGAGAACGAATCTTTCGCTAGAACCTGGAAAGATGCATTGCCATAATTTTTGTCTTCTGTGCATTTGGTGAGTAGTGCGGTGAGGCCCTATACCCAGTGAAAGAAATGGCCAAATCAAACGACTAGATGGTCGCTGTCCCCCTTCCTATTAAAAAACAAAAAAAAAGATGGCCGCTTTCCCTGTTTTTCCTGGTGAATATTAGTAACCGATGTTGTTTGTGGATCGGACAAACGGACAGATTTGTGGCTGTGTAAATGATGTATATTCTTGACTTGCCGGGGGGGGAAGAGGAGGAGGGGTTTAAACCGCCAGTACGCGGACCCAGCCTTGGTGAAAAATTGAAAATGCAACTCGTCGCCTACAAAAATTTCAGAGGCTCGGCCTACCGGGCCACAATCGTGGGTGGCGGCGGCAGCAAAAAAAAAGAAGTGCGCCACTGGTGGTTCGGAAAAGCTTGGCCTGCAGTAAGGCGCCGCCAGGTCCAGGTGTACTGATGGTTTATGTCTTTGTGGCCAAGGTATACGTAGTGTTTATGGCGTGCCGGGTTTTGACTTATATGTCTTTAAGGCATGGCAGTGTTTGCGGTAGGGGGTTAATTCTTCATGTCATACACACCTGAAACGCTGTTCTTTCTCACAGAGGATCCATGTACTTTGTTTGTCTATCTTCGTTTTCCACCTCAAACGTCCATTGCTGTTTTCTTTCACCCGCCTGCATTCCTTTGGTATTACTATCATTTTTGACATGCCACGTCAACACCGAGGTCAGCAGCTATACAACATTTGAATTCCTGTAACAACCACCCTAACACCCATCTTTTTCTGAACCTGGACGTGAAGAAGTCCAGGTTCAGGAGAATGGTCACAACTGCTCATTCTCCTGAGCCTCGACTTCTTCACACCGCTTCTAATACTTCTCTCTCCATCGACTTATTTGTGCCTTTCCAATCTCCCTTGTCCTGACGCCGGCGGAGCCGCGCTGGCCCGTCTTGTGTCCTTGCTATGTCTGTTATGTGCAGTTGGATATTGATTTTAGACCGGAAATTCCTGAGGAATACGTCCCATCGGAGAAGGAGAGAGAGAGGATTGTGAAGGAAGGAGAGCGGGTTGCGGCGACCGGAATGAAATCACTCATAATGTTCACAGAGACATTGCGAACGACATTTGGCAGAGAGCCCACAAGCGTCGAGGTGATGTGCGCCATGTGTATTGTTGTCCACTTCTCCCTCTCTGCCTACGGTTTATCGGACAGTTCTGTTTGACGATATATGTAAATAATACTAAATATTATATCGTCAAACAGAGTTTATATGATCATAATGTCAGTAGATTACAAAGATTAGTATATACATCTACATTACCAGAGTGGCCCGTCAGCACTTGCTCAGCGGGCCAAAAATGAAAAAATAAAATAAAATATTTTTTTATTTATTTTTTATTTGGCAAAGAATTTCGATGTAACTGTAAATAACATAACAAAAAAAAAACTTGTTCAATTTATTTTCAACATATCTTTTTGAACTTTTTCCTGATTTTTTTTTTTTTTTTGGACCATTTCTCGATTTATGCGTGTCATCCTTGCGCAGAGGCCGTGCTAATCTTCTCTGTATTGTTCCAATTTTAACGGATGTCCCAAAGGACAACTTTTTCCTGATTATTTTTTGAATTTTTTCGTTTTTTTTTGACAGGGAACTTTCCTGCTGGCCCTTGCCCGGCCGGGCCACCTGGGCAACCAAGGGTACCCGGGTGGCCCGGTTGGTAACTCAGATGATTATTAAATATAATTAATTAATGGAACTATTTTTGAATTTTTTTCCCTGATTCGTGCATGCCTGCAACCCCTTTCTGTCCCTTTCTCTACTTGTTGAGTTCTACTCGACACATGTTTTACCCATCATGTCATCATCCCCTGGGCCATATTTATTTACGTGATGTTGTGTTTTCCTTCCGCGAGTCCTTAGAAATATCCGTACATCGGGTGCTCCGTTATCTACCGCCAGCACTGTACATCCCGTAAAGAACAAAACAAAAGAAGTAAAAATAAATTCCATGCTTGCTGGTAATAAGCAACCGGACTTACGCCTCCCAGAATAGAAGAGGCCTTGTGTGTTTTGTTAAAAAAAAAAAAAAAAAAAAAAAAAAACACTTTGTGTCTCGAGAAAGGAAAGCACAGCTGTGCTTCACAGGTGGTTATTTCCTTGCTTCTGGCAAGGCAGACTTGCCTATCGTTCCTTTTTTCTTTCTGTTTTTTAGGGATTTTAAAAAGAAAAGAAAAGAAAAGAAGAACTTTTTTAAAAGTTTTTTTTTTCTGTATTTTAAGGGCGATGACATAAATATTCAAGTCTGATTTGTTCGACAAGGGCGAAGCTAGCCCTGTACAAATGCACATTCTTTTTTTTCCCCCCTTTTTTTTGTTCTTTTGGGAATGCACATCCTCCCCACTGCCCAAATTAGTGAATTGCCCCTTGATGCGCAGGCGACCCTGATTTTCCTGCACTTTCAGTCGAAACTATGCACCCAAAATTTCAAAATTTCACATCTACATCTTTGCAAAATTACCCCCACTTGCCCCTGCATGTAATGTGCGTGTTTTGCTCTGGTCCACTATCCTACCCCTTAACATGGGTCACCCGTGGGGAAAGGGCTGTGGGCCACTGCGCATTGACAATCAGACATACACTCAAAATTTTTGGTGGGCTGCGTAGATTTGGGAGTGTATCGATGGCGATTGTCCGAGTTTCAGCGGCTCTCTAACTGAATGTTTGCTGCAGGCTGTTGAGCGCATCGGCCCTCGGACGCATGCGTGGTCGGGGCTCCTGTATGAGCTCGTGCGTGACAAGGCGGGGAGAACCCTCAACTGCGTGTGAACGGTTATCTAACTGAATGTTCGCTGCGCGCTGTCGAGCGCACTGGCCCTCGCACGCGTGGACGGTTGTGGCTCCTCTACCAGCTTCTGCGTGACGCAGCCGGGAGAACCCTCGACCTCGTGTGAGGGCTGATACGCTGAACAGCGCCTTGGAATGTGCGCGGAGTGTTCTCTGGTTGTTGGGGGGGGGGGGGGGGGGGGGGGGAGGTGCTCAAAAGAAAGAAAGGAGCAAGTGGTAAGGTGAGGAGAGGGGGAAAGTGGCCTTCTGGCTAAGATCAAGTGTAGTATCTGTTCTGATCATTTTAATATCTGATCCGTGGTCCATAGGACGGCCAAAAAAAAAAAAAAAAAAAAAAAAAAAAAAGGGGGGGGGGGAAAAAAGTGTGGGGGGGGGGGGCACGCGGGGTAAAAAAAGGGGGGGGCGGGGGGGGGCGAAAAACCTCTTTTTTTTTTTTGGGGGGGGGGGGGGGGGCGGCGAGGGGGAAAGAAACCCTAAATAGTAAAAACATAGAGTTTTGTAGACGAGAGTCAATTATTACTACGTACAGGAATAAAAAGAGGGTTGGAAGAAAACAAAAAAGATCAAAAAGTTGTTCAGTTTATTTTTCTGCATAACATAGTTTATTTTTCGGATTTTTTTGATTTTTTTTTTTTTTGGCTGGGACCTTCCCTGGTCCTTGCACGGCCGGGCCACCCGGGAAAACAGGGTGACCTGGGCGGCCCGGCTGGTAACCTAGCCCTATTTGAAAAAAAAAAAAAAAAACCTTGAAAAAGGTGCGGAACAAGTGAGCTGTCCCTCGCTGAAAAAGCTCTGAAGTGCCTTTTTTTTTGTGTGTGTTTTACAATTAACGTCTGAAGTCTGGACCTGGGGCTAGGTCCCACTTACACGAATTAAGCGATATTGACTGTAGATAGCAAAGATCAACGGCCAGAATCTCTTAATCCGTGCAAGTGGGACCTTGCCCCTGGTCAAGCAAAACTCTTGCCAGGCCCCTGGCCACCCCGCACACCCAGGTACCAGGCCGGCAGCCTGCAAGTCGAGGTTCAGTCCGACCGACTACTGCGGCCGGTAGGCACTTTGCCAATAGGCAGCCCCTACTTGGCAGAGGAAGACCCCACCCTAGAGGACAAAGAGCGAGCCGGGGCACAGTGTTGCATTCAGGCAGGTGGTAGCTTGCTGTGGTACCGCTTGCAGCAGCACATGCGTGCGCTGGTGACTGTGCAAGAGGAACAGTGTGAGTGGGGGCGCTGAAGGCTGGAGGCTTCACCATAACTGACTGGGTGCTTTCGCGCAAGGCGAAGGGTGGCGAGACAGGGAGAGGTCCTTGGGTGCTCTGAGGAAGACTGTGGGAAGTTAGTGGATAGTACTGCATCATTATCTGGCGGCAGGCGGAAGAGCTCTACCATGATCAGACTCTGCAGCGGTCATTGGCAGGAGTAGGACAGAGCTCACGGCCACGCGAATGATAGGCTAGATTACTGTCTTCACCCAGATAAAACATGTGGTCATTGTAGCTGTATTTGGGGCAAATTTCTGTCCTAGATACAGCGATGACCGGGCATTCTATTCCGGTGTGAAGACGGTCGGCAGTGGTAGAGCCATGCGTACCTGAGTTGAGGATTTCTTCTCTGCTGTTGTGTATTGATTGATTGGAGAGCATTCTTTGCTGGCTTGTGATGGGGTGTGAACTGACAGTCTGTAGAGTTTTTCATCTGGTGTGGGTCAGTGATAGTCTGCTTTGATTTCCGTCACAGGTACCTTGAGGGCAGTGGTTGGTGGTCCCCACCTCCTCAGAGAGGTATCAGTTGCCGGGCAGTCGTTGATGCTTAACCACAACCGGGGTTAAGGTGGATTATCACTTACAGTGTAATCAGTTAGGGGATTCTGAAGACTGTTATACGGTTCAGCCTCCTGACGAGTGCGTGAAACTCCGACGAAACAGTTTGTCACAGCCCCTCGTTTGTTGTCCTCTTCTCCCTCCCTCTCTGCCTACAGTTTACCGTAGGAAGCTCTGTTTGACGATATTCAGGACTGCTTGTATTGATTGCTTGGAGGGGAGCAGTCAATCCTCCCTCTTTCTCTCTCTCTCTCTCTCTCTCTCTCTCTCTCTCTCTCTCTCTCTCTCTCTCTCTCTCTCTCTCTCTCTCCCCCCTTCAAAGTACTAATGCGGATTTCGACAGATCTCAAAGAGTGCAAAAGAAAAAAAAAAAGAACGCTCTTTTTTTCGAAAACCCATGGTATGGACTATATCTTCAACTTTCCTGCCAGCTTACGCTACGGCACTTGCCATGCCATTTGCGCAGCACTAAGAGGCGGCAAAAGTTGCTTCGCTTGTAGTCATTGAGGCTCCTCTTCGATCAAACTATGGCGAGCCTGCTGATTGACCAATGAATTTGGAACTTCCAACTCTAATAAGGCGTTTCCAGCATATAGCGAAGTGATTGAACTCTCATGTTGCCATGAGAGGGACCCATCGTATCAAAATTTAAAACTTGTTGACAAATCTTGGAAAATGTTTGGCAAACAAAAAAACCATGGCTACGATCCGGACGTCCGGACCGCCGTCCAGACGGTCCGGATTCGGTCCGGACTCCGGACGTCCGGTCCAGACGGTCCGGATCTGCCAAATTTCGAGGGAAAAAAAAAAAAAAAAAACCGGTCCAGGACCCTTCCCCATTAAGGAGCCAAGCCCCCAAAATTGTTTTGGGGGTTTTTCAGGCCTGTTTATGCTTTTTTGGGGGGTTCGGACATGCTCTCTCTCTATAATAATTTATTAGACAACCCTAAGTTTTTGATTATGAATAATTCATGACCTTTTATTGTTTTTTTTAACTTTTTTAAGTCTTTTTTTAAGATTTTTATAGTTTTTGACTTTTAACTCAAGTTTGGTTAGGAATTCTGACATGACTCTGAGGCAAAAGTGGTTTGCATTGTTATTCTGCATAACATACTTTTTTTTCAGATTTTTTTATTTTCATTTTTTTTTTTAATGGTCCGGACATTTCCGGACCTGTCCAGACATCCGGACCGTCCGGATCCCCCCATGTCCGGAGGTCCGGAAATGTCCGGAATTCCGGACGTCCGGAAACTACCGGACACGGGTCCGGTTCCATGTCCGGAAATGTCCGGGTCCGGGTCCGGCGTAGCCATGAAAAAAACTTACTCAAAAAAAACAAAAAAAAAAACTTTCCAAGGCTCGAAAAAAAAAACAAACAAGGCCGGTGAATTTTCACAAAAATTACAAGCGATTAAAAAGTTATCTATTTTTTATGGTAATCTGCCTGTTGAAAAAGTAACAAAAAAAACGTATACTTATTTAGACAAACGAAAGAGTTTGTTATTATTAATGGAGAAAAGATTGGGCATTCTTCTTGTACGTATGAATTTTTGCTCTACTATTTTTACAGCAAGACGTTTTCCGGTTCACCCCCCCTGGGCTGGTCCGGCCCCTGTTGCACCGGGCGAGCTGAACCGGCTGGTTGCCGGCCCAGCGTTCCCCGGCGCTCTATTTGGGTGAAGACGGTAGCATTCCCCCCAGTGCAAGAATGACACACACAAGTCAAGAAATAGTCCAAAATTCTCCAAATTCTTTTCTTTTTCTTTTTCTTGTTTTTGACAACTTTTTGAAGTTTTATCTCTCATCTCCATTTATCCATGGCATCCTCAGGGAGGAATGCTACCGTCTTCACCCAAATAGAGCTCTGGGCCCATGCTAATGTTCTCTGTGTGTTTCCACAGTTTTGCAGATGTCCCGAAGGTGCTTTGGGACATCCGATAAAAGTGGAGCGATACACAGACGAGTGAGTAGCATGCCCCCTGCACCACAAGGATGACACACACAAACGGAGAAATGGTCCCCCGCTGCCCTTCCCCCTCCCCCCACTCGCAAGAAAAAAAGAAGGTTGAAAAGTGAGGGGGGGAAGGGGCAGAGGGGGTTGCACTGTGCGAAGTTGCTTCGCCATGAAGAGGGAGGGGTATCTGAAATGAGTGTGCCATGGGATGATGTAAATCATGTACCCCATACTGCAGATATGGCTGAAGACTTTATACGTCAAGAGAGCTGCTGCTGATCTTGGGATCTCAAGAATCGCTTCTGAGGGTAGAACCATCACACTCGAGACAGCAATGGCCATGCCAGCCTTCAATATGCTCGTCAGCTCCATCGAGACAAGATCATTGAAGAAATCTCTAACATTCACCGATGGCAGGATGGAGGTATTGACATCCAACTCTCTCTCTCTCTCTCTCTCTCTCTCTCTCTCTCTCTCTCTCTCTCTCTCTCTCTCTCTCTGCGTCAGCCTCTCTCTCTCTCTCTCTCTCTCTCTCTCTCTCTCTCTCTCTCTCTCTCTCTCTCTCTCTCTCTCTCTCTCTCTCTCTCTCTCTCTCTC